ACACATTATGCCTTTGCTACAGGCCCTGCATTGGTTGTCAATCAGTTTCCAGATACAATTCAAAGTGCTGGTTTCTACTCATAAGGCCCTCTATGGAACAGCACCTAGGGCTGCATTCTCTGCCAAGAATCAATCCAACCAACTGGGGAGTCCTGGAGAAATGGCTAATAGTATCCCAGGCTGAGGTGTGGCACTGAGGCTCAGAGCTGTACCGCTTTTAAGGAGCTGTAGCTGTCTTTTGGAACCACATTCCTGTTGAGATCAAACTTGCCCCTACTTTGACTTCATTTAGGAATATGCACAACATTTCTGATGCCACCTTGATTTGAATATGCAGCTGAATTATAGCTTTTGTGCTATTGTGTGATATTTACGTTTATTTTAATAAGGTCTATCATTTATGTTTTAGTCACAATTTACAATGGAGTTTTTACTGTTACTTACTATTTACCCTGAATGTTTCATACACATATAACATTGGCAACTGCCCAGAAGTCTTACAGGATTTAGGTTGAATGAACAAACTGAGTGAATCAGTGGCTACAATACAAGATTGTTTTTATTCTCCCATATAAATGGAATGCACACCAATTTCTATCTTTCATTCATACCATTTGGTATTCAGCTGAGAGAGGTTAAGCATCCAGAGACTTTCTACATCCCTCTAGCCCAAGAATCAAGAATGTCTTTGCCACTGTTATTTGTTTATTTATTATTTTTAATCCCACCAATAGGAAACATTCAATGAAATATGGCATTCAATGTATGCAAGTATAACAAAATAGCAAAATCCACCTTACAACCCAGTTAATACAGGGGGGAAAAAAATAAGATACTTAGTGCTGAAAAGAAGTTAGTCAATATTGTATGATCCTGAAAAAGTGAAGCAGGTAACTAATTGAATGAGAAACGACTAGGAAATCCCAAGTTTGTAGAAATCCAATAGGAAAAGAATCCCAAAACTAGATAGTGGTAGACAACTTTCTTCTCGCTGCCAATAAAACAACATGGATCTGTCCACGTAGTCACCCGGAGTCAAGCTTTCAGCCATCATTCATATGGCATTACTCTTGTCACAATATCTGTAATCTACTTCCCAGAATGTCTCAGAGAATATGAGTACCTTCATGTGGTGCTGAAAAGATTACAGTAGAGGTACAAGGCAACTTTTCCCAAGGTGGACTTAGAAGAGACATGAACCCATAGAGAAGATATCACAGTTAAGGAAATCTTCTATCCTGTTGGCATCCAGTGAACTTCAATCAAAACATTGCAACGTTGCCTCGCCTTTTTATAGTAATGAACAGTACTCACAAAAACGTTTATTTCCATTCGCCAAATATGTTGCTTTTCTTCTCAGAGTAGGTTAAAATAGGGGGAAAACAAAAACAAGTGACAAGATTATGGATGGATAAGAATTTTATAAGCTTGGGCTGATTTACAATGTTTTTAAAATTATAAGAAAGCGTGCAGAAACTATATTAAGTATTCATTTATAAATGGTACATTTATTAGAATATTTATACAAGTTTGTAAGAAAAAAAGTTAGGAGAAAGTTATAAAAACAGATGGAGAATATAGAAATTGTCAAGCAATGATGTAATCAACATAAAATGTATAAACAAATCTTCCATGTTGGTGATCCACCATATTTCTCTTCAGTGATCCAGCAGAAAGTAATATACTTCCTTCTTCTTACTGGGTTTCCATCAAGCAATACTCTTTTCAGAGAAAACTCATCGCTAGGATAATAGATTGTCTTACGAATGAAAAGATTTATTCGAGGAAGCAATGACAAATATAAGCATCATGTAGTAATTCTTCACCCTGATCAGTAGTAATTTACTTCAAGGGGAGGAATGTTGGTGAAAGCCGAGCAGACGGGGTTTTCTTCTCCTCCACACAGAGGGCTTTAAAAGCTGTGTGAAAATCCCTGTGTATACAGGCAGATTTATGGTAATGAACTCAAGGCAACATCTCTTTTGCTTCTGACAGTCTACTCAACCTTAACTGCTACGTTGAAGGCTGGGCCATCACAGGTTGTTTTTTTTTTTTCTTCCTAGTAATTTTTTTCCCTTCTTGCTGGGAATATATTGAATCTGACTATTGTGAGCAGTGAGAATTTCATTTGGTTCAACTTTTAATACATCCCTTCTTGCCATTCTGTTTATAATGAAACTTGCAAATTTCATTCGAACGTCAAACTTGAGCTTCAAGGCAGAGCAGATATTGGAGTTTGGTATTGCCTTTTCACCTAACATTGTATACCGTAAACTGCAACACTCATCCATTTGCTATCTGACTTCTGCATCTGCAAATACTAGGGCAAATTAAAAAAAAAAAATCAAAGAATAGTTACCCCATTCCCTGTTTCATTGACCTGATTCCCCCTCCCAGAGGTGTCCACTCTATCAGAGTCTTTTATCAAAATGATGTAATTAGCATTGCACTGCTGTAATATAAGTCCCTTTTAACATTGTCCATGGGGTTTTCTTGGCAAGGATACTGGAGTGGGTTGCCATTTCCTTCTCCAGTAATGTATGGCTGTGAGAGCTGGACCATAAAGAAGGCTGAGCGCCGAAGAATTGATGCCTTTGAACTGTGGTGCTGGAGAAGACTCTTAAGAGTCCC